TTGGGTGCAAGGTTCTTGACATCCCAAATGACAAATTAGGTGATGATAGATTGGGTGCAAGGTTCTTGACATCCCAAATGACAAATTAGGTGATGATAGATTGGGTGCAAGGTTCTTGACATCCCAAATGACAAATTAGGTGATGATAGATTGGGTGCAAGGTTCTTGACATCCCAAATGACAAATTAGGTGATGATAGATTGGGTGCAAGGTTCTTGACATCCCAAATGACAAATTAGGTGATGATAGATTGGGTGCAAGGTTCTTGACATCCCAAATGACAAATTAGGTGATGATAGATTGGGTGCAAGGTTCTTGACATCCCAAATGACAAATTAGGTGATGATAGATTGGGTGCAAGCCTTGAAGGAGACAAGAAGTACAAGACTAAAGCCAGCAACGTTGGTACAACGAGCAAAGATGAAACCAGTAGTGCCTGTCACAACCATGAACAGATGGACAACAATGATAATACATCTTTTGATGAGAATGTTACAAAGATAAGTGAAGACAAACGTGAGAATGAACAAATTTTAGTGGTATCAACAAAAAAATTATGCTCTCTTGCAGAAGAGTGTTCGAGAGTCATGCAAAAACATCGCATCAATTCTCTATGATGTGAGTGACTTTGCTGTGCTCCAAATGAAAGGGCAAAGGCCATCAATGTGGATCATGCTGCTAAAGTCATCAGTGTGGAGCTACACAAGATTTCAGATAAGACTGCTCCCACTGTCGTTCAAGCAGAGCGAAGGCAGCAGAATTAGATCACCTCCATGTCTTGATAAAAGAGAAACTTTCTGTGTCAAGTAAACATGAAAAGGTGAAGATATTAACATTACCACCAGATTCTTTGTCACGGAAACAAGTTGCTGACTTTTTCGGTGTTACTAATGCCCTTTGATTGAAAAAAGGGAATTCTTAGAGAACCAGAAAGAAATCACTGCAAACCACAGCCAGAAACAAAAGTGGAATAAGTAAAATAATTTTATGAGAATGATGAAGTTTCGAGGATGATGCCAAGAAAGAAAGATTTTGTTAGCTTAGGCAACAAACAACATGCCCAAATACGTATTCTCTTGTGCAATTTGGCATATCTTTATACAGAGTCTAAATTTCCTTTTCCAGATATCAAGAGTGGATTTTCAAAGTTCTGTGCTTTGCGTCCCAAGTTGTGTGCTCGGCATCAAAATGCCATTCTTCTTGCTCAAGCACTTTATTGGAAAGTGACCTTATAAATAGTAT